ATGGTCTGGGCCAAGAGAGTCTTGCCTGGGAGAGCAAACAGAAAGATTCAGGGGCATGAAAACCGATCATAAAAGAATTATTTCAAAAATGTATAAATCAAGGATGAACAAACTCATAGGTCATTTAAATAATGATTGTATGAATAAAAATAATATTAACAACAAAATATAACAGGACTTTCAGCAAAATATAAACAAAAATGAAATACATATCTCCTGGGACCTACCTGAGCCAGTTGGCCCCAAGAGAAGAATATTACTCTTCTCTAGCCGGAGCATGTGTGTGGTCGCATCCAATATGTCTGATCCATGTAAACTGTTACTGCTGGTGACCGGTCGCTTTGAGGACTGTTGGTCTAGGGTCTGGCCCCCTTGCCCCCCCTGTTGCCCACCCTGCTGTCCCTGGTCAGTGTTCTGGAAGCCACTGACCCCTAGCGCATGGCTCTGGCTGATGCCAGCAATGTGCAAGAGGTCTGTAAGGTAGACAGGCAAGACAAAAAGAAAAAGAGTAAGAAATAGGTAATTGTGCTTATCTTGATAAGAATATAAACAATGGCAATAATATCTAAATGATTTCAGTCACCATCATTTTGTGACCACAACCCTTAATTTGCACAAAATTAGTATTCCTAAAACTAAATCTGGAAACAAAAGCATTTGCACACAAAATCTCATCATCCTTACACACATGATCTGGTTAAGAGTCCCTTATGATTTATTGAGCTAGATGAACCAGCTCTCATAAGAGGCACACCTAGAAGGAATCTCATGCTTTTTGCTCTCCAGCAATTGCTATGGCAAAGCTTCGATCACACACCACCTTCGCAAAAAGTGCTACACTTTCCAGTCAGGATTATAATGAGTTAATGATCTCCATTGTAAAAAAAAAAAAAAAAAAAAAAATCAGCAATCAGAAATTCTAACCAAACTGATATCTCAAGTAAACACAGTGCAGAAGAATACATAAGACACATATACACACACACGCAATTATTTAAAAAGAATGGTGAAGTTAGACATCGTAGACATATTTTCAGTGAAAAAGAACAAAAGGTCAAACTAAAAAAGTTAAGAATAAAATGTGGTAAGTTGGATGTAATGAAATTTCATTTTCCAAATGGATATTTTGATGAAACCCTTCCTGAAACACTATAAGAGCTATAAACTTCCATCAATCCAAAATGTTACATAGTGATTTCAACATGGCAGATGGATCCTCCTAAGCTCAGCTCTCTCCCTCCCTCACTTACAAAATTACTTTAAAATAGCAACACAAGAACACACACACATACATACATGCATCTGCACAAACAAATGTGCACATACTAATACGTGCACATACCTAGAGTTCCAATATCTAGCAGCAGCAGAGTACAAAAACATGGCATTAATATTAATACATGGCAATGCAATGGACATAAATAAGTTACTAGCTCTTTCACAATAGCAATTTTTGGTAAGTTCAACTTCTGAGAAGTTTCATGCATAAACTTTTCAATGATTTTTGAACTTATGGAGATGCAGTCTGTAACACTGCAAGTGAGAGACAATAACAATGACAGAAAGGAAACAAAAGGCAAAGGGAACACAAATGGAAGGGGAAAGGGACAAGGAAACAGAGAGGAAGAGGTGCAGGAGAGAGAAAAGGTGCAAGGGATGAATGGAGTGGAAAAGTGGGGAGAGAAAAGGGAAAAAGTGAGAGGATGGAGAAGGAAGGATGGGAGGGGAGTGAAAAGGGGGTAAAGAGAGAGGTTTTTACCTACGAGGAATATAAAGATAATTGAATAATAAAAACAACAGAAACAACCTACAGTTTCCAACTTACTTCAGATCTCTCTCATTGTTTGCCTTTTGCTAAACCACCGATATGATCAATCTGATAATTCTTGCCATCCACCCACAGGCTTGTCTATCTGAGCTGATATCAGCTTGAACTTCCCCATTGCCTTTACTCACTCAATCTTTTATCATTTTACTTCTCTTTTTGTTTCTCCAATATCAACTCAAACTCATACTCCACTTCCACTCCTAACTCTCACTCCTTCTCCCTCTCTCTTACTCTTACTATCACAAGTACTTATTCTCACTCACATTTGTACTCTCCTATGTCCACCTAATTCTTTTATCTCCAACAAAGCATTTTCAACACATGCCCTTAATTTTCTTTTATCTCTAATCCATCACTTTTCTTAGCTTTCAAAAAAAAATTGCAAACATGATCTATACTGAGCAAGAGGAGACCACATCCCACAAAAGTTTACATCAGACAAAAAACAACCTGAACTTATTCATGCCAAACAACACAATGCTTTTTTGGGAAACAGACAATACATTCATCACAGTCTCTCTACCAGCAATACATACTGTCAAGTCTGTCCCCTTTTTGCAAGATATACTACCAGCAAAATGATGGCTAATCTTCACTAATATCTTTAAGAGAACTTTAAGCTCTTTCTTCATTTAAGTCTCATTCTGCTGAACAGTGACAGTTTAAAAAATATCAGTCACGGGATTAGGAAAGCAGTAGTAAATCTTATGATTAAAGCTTTATTTCAAGAGCCGAAAAGTTAATTTGTGATTTTAATGTTAGCTCAGAAAAATAGGAAAAACAGAAGAGTAAAAGGACAATTAGGACAAGAGAACCAGACACCTTCCTATTTCTGTGAAAAAAAGACAAGAGTTAGGACAAAAATACCCTTTCTACCTAATCCATCTTCATTGCATTGGCATCATCAGAGATAAGAATACCTGGAGCAATACCTACACTTAGGCAAAAAACATAATTGAACAATCACATTACCAATCTAAGATCTTACATTAAAAAACAAATACAATTTAACATCTCTAATCTATTCCCCTCAGATCCTTATCTTATCAGCTGTCAATGAGCCAAGTCCTACTGGTCACTGAACCTGTCACTTTTTGTGCGTTGGATGGCACAAGTATAAGCATCACCTCTTTCTTTTTTTACAAGTCTTCCTTATCAAAGTCAGATGACTCATCAATACTTGACAACACATTTTACATAAGATAAGGCATCAAGATAGTTTTAACCCCTGTCCTATCTCTAATTTCCGTGCCTGGTACACGTGACCACTTACTCAGGTTTATTTAAATAATGTTCTTTTTTCCTATCAATATAATTCTATATCCCCCTGTCTCTTCTTGAAATGACAACTAACAAATTCCCAAACAATCTCTCTTAACAACTCTTAAGGAACTTAAAAAAAAATTTAAAGCCCATACTTCCATGTCCTTTGAATATTATAATAAAAACAAGGTGAATTTCAAATTCCATCTACAATAAAGGAAAACTCATACATAGAGAACTATCTCATATATAAGAAATAAAATGTCAGTCCTTCTCAACCATATAAGGAAAATAACCAGCTTGTGCCTAAACAGTAGTCTAAAAGATTGTCCTATTCTTCTTTGAATGTGAAGACAATCCCAAGAAAACAATAACAAACACTTTATTCTCTTTACTGTAGAACACTAGCATCTAGCAAGCTACCAGTAGTGAGTTAGTGAGTTCATAGTGCGTGGATGTTGGGGGCCTGCACGCTCTACCAGCCCAAAGATGCCTTGTGTACATGTCTACTGACCCCTACCCCTGTTGGTGAGGCCCTGCGGGATGGTGGCTGTGTCCAGATGCAGGGGCTCTGACTTGGTCTGGGGTATGTTGTGGAAGATGCGCTTGTAGTGGTTGTAAACTGCCACACTCAGCACCTTTTTGGCACGCTCCTGTCCCACCACATGATTCTCCAGGTACTCATAGATCTGAAGGGGGAGGGGAGTGGGGAGGGATGACGAAACAGTTTGCTTGCGGGTCTAGGGTAAGTTGTTGCTTATCATTATTCACCTTTGCAATTTAGAAGGAAATATCAAGGCAATCACAGAGCAGAAGAGTGGATAATTTAGAATATCATGTTAGAACAATCATAGAACTGATCTAATTACCTGCACAAGGAATTACTATGTCTACAGATAACAGTCCAAAATGCATTCATTGATAATGAATTTTTGAACAATGCAGTATTACTTATAAGACCTATTTATATCACTACAGAGTTTAAAAGGAATATAAAATCCTTTAAAAAATAAACATATAAAACAAAACCCTTAGAAATACATACATCGAAACTATGAATCTATAAATAAAAGAAGGAAAAACAATTCATTCCCTTTTTCCCTCAATACCCACCTTCTTTGGTGGAGGAGGCGGTCTGCGACTGAAGGAAGCCTTGGGGTCATCACGCTTTTCCTTCTGCTTGCGCTTGGAGTCCACCTCTGACAGCACCACAAAGAAGTGATGACATTTCTCACACTTCACAAAGCGTGTCGAGGCTGTAAGTTGAAAATATGTCAACAATGAGTTCAATTTATAGCCATAAAGTAAATAAAAAAATTTAAAACAATAAATGGTAAACCAAAATCAGAATATGCCTGATATCCTTTCACAAGAAAGTGAGCGCACACACACACACACACATACATACATACACACACACACACACACACACACACACACACACACAACACCCCACGCACGCACGCACGCACGCACGCACGCACGCACGCACGCACGCACGCTCGCACGCACGCTCGCACGCACGCACGCACGCACGCACGCACGCACGCACGCACGCACGCATGCACGCACACACGCACACACGCACGCACGCATGCAGAAAAAAAAAGACAAAAGTACTTACAAACAAAAGTCTCCACATGGGTGCAAGGATCACCACACTTGGGACAACATAACTGATTCTTCTCGCTTTTCTTGCTCTGAGCATCCTTGTCATTACCGTCATCACCCCCTCCACTCCCATCCGTTGGCGGCCCAGCGGAGGACTGGCAGAGGGAAATGCAGGTGGAGATTGGCCGGGCGAACACCAGTGAGCATCTCTGGGGTTCACGACCTATGACACGCAAGCAGAGCACACCTGTGGGAGGAAGAATGGCTTGATAACAGCATTCCTAAATAGAGAGAAAATGGTGAATTTTTGCCATTCTTTGAAGCCACATCTATTTTTACATCATTTTTACATCTGATCTGAATACTTTAACAGTTAATTCAGTCAACCCCAAACTAAAGCAGGAGGTACAGTGAGATAGATTGTGACTTTGCTTTACACAGAGAATAATCATCATATCTTAAGCATAAAGGTAGCCAATACAATAACAATCAAATATGATGATTTTACAATAATAGTTTTTTTTTTTCAATAAGATTACCAAGATGATGATAACAGTAAGAAACAAATGATAAATTCTATCTAATTAAAACAATAGCATAATCCTATCATTAGAAGCAAAATAGAATGCTTCACCTTTATCATTCCAGTCTCACTATCAATAACTCAAGGACTGATAATCTAACATCAACAGGAGAAATAAAACTATAATATTTAAATACACAGGCTTCAGAGTGTAAGATAACTTTCCTTGGTTTCCTTTAATCTCCTTAAAAACATCACATAATTCTTATATTCTCAATCATTCATTCATCATTCATCATTCACACACACCACACCACACCACACACATGCTACACCCTAACCACACCACACCACACCACACCACACCACACCACACCACACCACACACACACGCCACACCCTAACCACCCCACCAATCCCCACCCCACCCCACCCCTCCCCTCCCCTCCCTCTCCCCTCCCCTCCCTCCCCTCCCCTCTTCTCCCCTCCCCTCCCCTCTTCTCCCCTCCCCTCCCTCTCACCTCACCTCACCTCACCTCACCTCACCTCACCTCACCTCACCTCACCTCACCTCACCTCCATAAACAATATATTTATACACATATATATTCATATTCATTCATCTTCACAATCATATTCAAACTGCATTTGCATTCACATTCAAATTATAAATCACAATCACCTCATAAAAAATATCATAACCATACCAACATTTACACTCTCACTGTCCTGTGGCGACCTTTTCCCATGGCTTCCTCTCTTGCCACTAACAAAAGACACTGAGGTCTGTCACTGGTGCCAACAAGTTCCCGGGCCTCCTTCACTTCAGTACATGACACTGAAAAAGGGCTCCCTGATGCACTGGAAAATGATCACTCCTGGTTTGAGAAGAAAATCCCTTATTATCTTTGCATGTAAAGAATATGTATGTAAGAAAATTATCTCTATAAAACCCTTAATCAATCAAAACAAATGTATTTCTAATCATCTTTATCTAACTGTTCAACAATCTTATTCTCTGATATTGATGCTTCTAGGAAAATAAAACATTTGCCAATTGTTCTCTTAAGGGGGCAGCCGCGACAAAATTAAAAAAAAAAAAACTTGAAAATTTTTAAAAATACTTGATTTTTTTTTTTAATCTCCTGTAATCTAGTAGTTACTGCCATTAGTACTTTGCAAAAGGGGGGACAATGTACCAGCTACACTTCAGAATACCATGTGAATGCCACAGAATGCAGCAAGATTGTTGCAGAGATAAGAATTCTCAAAAAAAAAAAAAAAAAAAAATTAGAGGGAAAAGTATCCTCAACTTCAGAGCCTGATATCTCAAAACTACACTTTTGTCAGCACTTTTTAAATTCATCCATAAATACTTGGGCGATTCTAATGTGGTTTGGATAATTTGAAAGTTGAATAAATTTGCGATGGTTTTGTTAAAGAAAATTTTCAGTTTAGGTAATAGAAGTCCATATATTATATCATGATGTTCATAAGACTGAACATTTAGAAAAAAAATTAATTCCCACTAAACTATAAGGAAATCTAAAAATCCGGTCTATGCAAGTTTTAGGTATTGCTATAGAGTATAGGTGGTACTTTTTTCAGTGTGATTTTAAAGATTTTGTGATTGTTCAAAAACTTTTTTTTATTAAATAACTTCATATTTTTTATCCAAATGATTTGAAAATTGGTGGTGTTTATCACTTTATATGTATGTATAGCACATTAAAAAATCACAAAAATCTGATCATAACTGATGGCTCCCTTAATCAGTAACCCAGTAGTACATAAAGAATCTCTTGTTCCTTCATGTGACCAAATGTGTATTAAATTGGTATTCATTATGTCACCTTTATAATCTTTCATTATAAAATGTACTGAAACAACACTGTAAATGTAATCATCCAACAGTCTCGTCAATAAGAATCCCACTTTGAGATTGCTCCTTGCCATGATTTTGCAAAGATGCCCCATCTCCTTTGGTCCTCTTGCATATTTCCCAGTCCAGTCCTGCTCTCATCACTTACCCTCATCTTTTCCCTTTTTCGGTCTTTCTCCCTCTATCCCTTTATTTCACCCGTTTCATGTGCCATTCTCTCAATTGCTCCTGACCAGTCATCTTCTCCCCTTTTCTCTTAATTCCTGTTATCCTCTCATCTTCTTTCCCTACCACTCCACTTACCATTCACAGTAGCAGTCTTCCCGTTGCGCACAGATAGTAGTCTGCGCAGGGAACGAGCTCCCCATCTCACACTGGACATGTCTCTTCCTA